TTTCCAGAGCAAAGACACAGCTCCTTCAAAAGTGGCTATAAAATTTCTAGGTTCGCTGTTGAATCAATACAGTTATACAGTTTTCTGAATATTTTAATACTTCTGAGAATGAGAATGAAACAAAGCCAAATAAAATTATTTAGGGGCTGGATATATAGCTCAGTAGTAGTTAGCATGTAAGGTTTGATCCCACCATGGCAGAAAAACAAAAACAAGCAGATGAAAAAACTATGGGCTATTCACACTGGAAAGTTCCATAATTAATGTAGCTAATTGAATTGTTACTAAGTACAATGGGTTATTACTTTTAGATACTATGTGATAATTATGTTTTATTAGAAGCTAAAATTTACTGTGTTTATATGGATGATTATTTTGAAAAAATATCTGTGAAGATACACTTCACATACATTGGAACTCATTCCTTAAAAAGTATACAATTGAGTGCCTTTTAGCACTACAAACAGCACCATAATTTTAGATCATTTTTGTCATCTATAAAGAAGCCCTGTACTCAGGGCTGGGGAATGACTTAGTAGATAAAGTGCTTCCCACCCAACTGCAAAAACCTGAGTTTGTATTCCTAGAACACACATAACAAGGCCAGGCATGGTGGTGCATGCCTATAACCTCAGCCTTGTGGAGGTGGAGGCAAGAAGGTCCCAAAAGCCCTTTGGCCAGCCAGTCTAGCTGAATCAATGAGTTTCAGATCCAGTGAGAGACCTTGTCTCAAAAAATAAAGGTGGAGTGGCTGGTGAGATGGCTCAGCAATTAAGAGCACTGGCTGCTCTTGCAGAGGATCTGGGTTCGATTCCCAGCACCTACATGTTGGCTAACAACCATCCATAACTCCAGGTCTAGGGGATCCAGTGCCCACTTCAGGCGTCCTTGGGGTTGTATATACTTGGTGCACTTACATACATGCAGGCAAAATACTCATACATAAAATAAATGAAAAATTATAAAGGTGGAGAGCTATCAAGGAAAGACACCCAGCATTGACCTCAGGTTTCCATTTTCTCTCTCCTCTCTCCACCCCCAAAACAAATCCTATACTTACTAGTAGTCACTCCTCAGACCCCCAACACTAGGCAACCACTAAGCTTTGCATTTAGATATTTTAATTTTTAAATTATTATTATTATTTGGTCTTTTTGAGACAGGGTCTCCCTGTAGCCTCAGCTGGCATGGAACTCACTATGTAGACCAGATTGGCCTTGAGCTCACAGAGATCTACCTGCCTCTGCCTCCCAAGTGCTGGGATTAAAAGCATGCGCCACCATGCCTGGCACATTTAGATATTTTTAAAAGAGTAGTTTTCCAAATTATGTTTAGAACAAATGGGGATATTTTTGCTTGTGATGGTATGACTATTCTAGAGCTAAATCTTCTTCATAATCAGATTAATACCTTCATTTTTCAGGATTGATCTTAACACCAGAGGAGATTGATTCCTTACCATTTTAGGGATAAGCATGAGCCTTTCTTTTATTCAATTTAGGAAGCCCTTTTTTGTTCTTTAATTCATTCCTGAGGCATATTAAATATGAAAATTGACCAAAAAACTTAAAAAGTGGGCAAAAACAAATGCGTAAAAATTTCAGTTTTATTAGCTATGATAAATTCTGAGTGCTGGTGAAAAATAGTAAAATCATCATGTATGCTGTTTTGAATTTTAAGTATTGTTTGCTTATTCTAAGTATTAGATTTGATTATGCTCAGGTTAATTTTCTTGCTTGTATTAGTTATACTATTTAGGAACTATTTTAAGATAGGCCTGCTTTACTCAAATTTGTATTTTTTAAATTCAAAGCTACCTTAATAACCTTTTAAGTTTTCAGTGGAGAAAAGACATTTCTAATTATAGAAATGTTGAGACATACATGTATACATTTTCACCCCTTTCATATGACTGTTAAGAAATTCTTATCTTGAGTTCATCTCTTTCCTTTTCAGATTCTCTGCAATGACTGTAATGGAAGATCCACAGTCCAATTCCATATTTTGGGCATGAAATGTAAGATCTGTGAATCCTACAATACTGCTCAAGCTGGAGGTCGTAGAGTTTCACTGGATCAGCAATGACCAGCCTGTGCTTCTCTGGAAAACTCAGTGTTTTGTGATATAGATAAAGCTCTGTGTGAAAGTATCCTGTTGTCATAATGTGTCATAAATCTATGCATTAGTTGTGTTTTATACTAGTGTCACAGCATAAATTCCTAAGTACCTAAGGATTCAGGGTCTCCTGATGGATTATAGTTCTATACTGGATGAAAGCCTCTGCACTTGTGTTGATCAGAAATTCCTTTACTGTCAAGTTTTGAAGCCAATGATATTGGCCCCTGATAATAGTCACATTCCTAGAAAATTTTATATGTCCATGGAACTTTAAAGGACACTATGCATGCAGAGTGCATTTCTAGTTCTTGATAGAACTGCATTTAACTTTAAATAGTTTTTGATTTTAAGGACTGCACTATGATTTTTAAGTTCAACCTTATTATAATCTAATTACATATGCTTTTGAATTTTCTAAGACAGTCCTTTGGATCCTATATATGAATTTTGATGTAATGAACTGCTAATAAAGTTATATTGAAACATTGTTTTACAGATAATTTTTCCAAGGTTGTGTATTTTGGGCTTTATTAGGGCAATATGGGCTATTTTATAATATAAAAGTAGTTGTTTTTATTTTTTTTTCCTTTGCAGTGCTTTAACTTTTTTTTTCATGCAAATGGGTAAAACTGTACTATCGACAGAAACTTGTGCAAAGGCAATCTCCAATTAGAAGCTGACAGCACATGACCTATCTGACACAAGGAAATAAGGTTCACAGGAGATCAGAAAAGGCATGTCAGAAAAATGCAAGGAAAAGAAATACAGTGGGAATCACAGTATTAATCTCATGGAAAATGGCAGACATCAAGGCATAAGGCAAAATTCATCATGATGGTCATGGTAATTAGAGAGTTCCCCCACAAGAACACACAATTCCTCAACTGTAGCTCTTCAAGTTTTCTCCTGGTTTCATCTTTACCATGAACATTTTCACATCGTCTCCATTTCCAATCATCCCATTATTGGTCTGCCTATTAGGTATGGCCCATTGAAAATTAGGGGCAACATGGTGAACCTGGCCTGGTCTGTTAACTTCCTGCAGGCTGGTGGCCATCACGTCCCAAAGGGCCATTTTCCTTTCCATTCTGCAGGGGCTGCCCATTTCATTTTCCTTGTGGATATTTGCAATGCTGTGATTTTTTTCCCTGGTGGTTATTCTGGGCCTATCCTTGTATTATCTCAGTTCTTGCTACAACATGCATCACCTTGACCTGACTCCAAAGACCTGCTCCACTCGGCCTGGGCCTCTCAAGTCAGCCCACTGTGCTCAGGACAGCAGGAGAGCTGATGGCCAGATCAGTCTTTTTTTTTTTTTTTTTTTTGGTTTTAGAGACTGGGGGTCTCCTTGTAGCCCAAGCTGGCCTAGAATTCACTGTGTAGACCAGGCTGGCTTCAATCTCACAGATCTACGTGCCTCTGCCTCCTAAGTGTTGGGATTAAAGGTGTGCACCACCATACCCGGCTTTTGAGTTGTTTTTATGAGAGTGGTTGGGAAAAAGTTACGTAAAAGAATAGGACTCTTCCAGGCATTAAGGCAGCCATCAGCAGTACAAGTAATGTCTTTACGTACCCCCAAATCAATTCTTCACAGTTAAACTCAGCAGATATTAATTGTGCAAAGAAGAACTAGGTGTGGTTCTAGATACTTGTAGAGATGACAGTGAAAGATAAATACTGAAGTCCTTACCCTTGTACATTCCAGTGTTCCTCATACTTGGTTAGCATATTCTGTTTTATTAATTTAAGAAGTGAATGTCTTTGTTGTAAACAAATGGCTGTTCCCTGAATTTTCAGAAGTAGGAGATGAATGAATGGAAAGAACTTGGGATGTTCCTGCAAGTTCTTTTATGTTACCTTTTTGCTTGTTTGTAATAGAATTAAATGTACTTCCTTTTTAAAAGTTTTTCAAAAAACGTGTATATGTCTGTGTCTCTGCTCTGCGTGTGTGTGCGTGCGTGTGCTGGTCAGAAGAGTATTGGATCCCCTAGAACTGGAGTTACAGGCAATTGTGAGCTTCCTGACACGGGTAATAGGAACCCAACTTGGGTCCTCTGTAAGAACAGGAGGTGTTCTTAACCACTAAGTGATCTCTCCAGCCCCTAAATAGGCCTCTTAGTTCAGGAACAAAGTTAATGTGTTCAGCCATAAGTTGGCTGTCTATAGCAACCTCTCGACCAACACTCAGGGCACATCATGGAAGGGTGGTACAGAAAGAATGTGAGAGCTAGAGAATGGGGAGGAAAACTATGAAATGCCGTGTCCTGTATTGAATAACACTGTTGCATACACACATGGACTCCAGCAGCACGAGGCCTGCATAACATTAAACCAGTTCATAAGCATCTAGCATGGATGGAGCAATGACTCCAGAGGCTCCATCCCTAACTGAGGAGCTGTTGGCAGTTGATAGCTGCAGAGAGTTACTTTTCTTTGGGGATGTGGCTGCTGGTAGGTGGTCTATGACTCAGTGGATGAACCTATATCCATGTGCAAGTGGACAGCACTACTTGGACTCAGTGGATTATTTAAAAAATAGAAAAAGGACATGAAGAGAGGGTGAAGTGTTGGGGGGTGCTGGTGGGAGGTGGAGTGAGGTAGTGCAGAGCGGATATGATCAAAATACATTGCATACATATATGAAGTTTTTGATGGTGACTTTAGGGCTTTAAAAAATATACCATCTGCACACATAATTTCTGATTTTATGCTTGGGTGCCTTTTTATTCTTTGATTGTTGTGGCTAAAACTTCCAGTATTACATTGGGAAAAAGTTGAGATTATACATATTTATCTTGTTCTGATCTTAGAGGAAACATCTGTGACCTTTTTATATATGGCTTTATTAAGGTACATTCCTTCCATATGTACTTTCTTTTGTGAGATTTATTTTTTGTGTATCAGTGTTTTGCCTGTATGTCTGCGTGTGCACCATCTGCAAGCGAGAGGTGGAGGCCAGAAGAGGGAGTTGGATCTCTCGGAACTGGAGTTTCAGATGGTTGTGAGCCCCCGAGTGGGTGCTGGAAACCAAACCTGGTTCCTCTCTAAGAGCAGCAAGAACTCTTAGACATTGAGCCATCTCTCCAGCTCTGGATAGTTTTTTTGTTTTGTTTTAAGGTTCAGCTTTTTTATTAAGCATGTTACAAGAGGTTTAGTCAAAAAGACCAAAGCCTATGTCATCATGATACTCCTGGGATTCCTCTTTCTTTGCTCCCACTTTCTTCCTACCTGGGCCAGAGGCAGTAGATGGGATAGGACCACCTGCTGGAGCAGGATCAGAGCAGGTTCACCAGCCCCTACATTGCAGATGAAGCTCCCAATGTTGATATTGGCCAGGGCCTTTGGTGCAAACAAGCCAGGTCAAAAAGGTTCAACAGTGAAAGCATCAGCTTTACTGAGGACATTAGGTTTTTTTTTTTTTTTTTGAGACAGGGCCTCCCTGTAGCCCCAGCTGGCCTGCAACTTGCTGTGTAGACCAGGCTGGCCTCAAACTCACAGAGCTATGCCTGCCTCTGCCTCCCGAGTGCTGGGATTAAAGGGATGTGCCACCATGTCAGGTGAGGACTTTGTTCTTATCCTTCAAGACAGTCGTCTTGGCCTTACCTCTTCTGGTGAAGGATGAGGGCAGGGCAGATGGCAGGCTAGCTCAGAGACAGGCCCCGCAGACTGCAGGGGTGTACAGCGCTAGTCGCCTGATGAAATGAGGGCCTCATCCCAATGTGGCCTTAGCTTCCTTGGGAGGACTGAGCACCTTGATGGCAGCGGAGCAAAGAGTCTTTTTTTTTTTTTTTAACTTTTAATAACTACATGATTAGAAAAAGCATTTCACTACAGATTTAACATATTCAGTAACATACTCCAGAGCAAGAGTACATGTCTTTCACAAGTGGGTGCAAGTTTCTAGGTTCACACTTAAGTTAATATAGTTATACAATATTGAACTCAGTATAAGCCCTCTAAGACATAAAATTGAATGAGTTTTTAACCTTTAAAAGAGATCTCCATTTCATTTTAGAACA